AGTGTTTTAATGCTCGCACTTCACCCAAATAACGCCCACGAAACCAAGACTCGGTAGCAAAGATGTCGGGGAGAAAGACCCAACTCCGACAAATATATATGATATATATTAATTAGAAAGAGACAACACTTGTAATTTTGCAATATATATTGTTTTCCAGAGGCAAAACGGATTACGGTATAATGATATTCGCGGACAAGCGCTTTAGCCGCGCGGACAAGCGCAGCAAGCTGCCGCGCTGGATACAGGAGCATCTGCGCGACTCCCTCTGCAACCTCAGCACGGAGGAGGCTGTGCAGGTCCGCACTCACACTCGTACTCCTTTACACTAACTCTCACTCCATTACAATTTCTCTCACTACATTACACTTATTCTGATACTCCATTACACTCACTCTTACTCCATTACACTCACTCTTACTCCATTACACTCACTCTCACACTCTATTACATTAACTCTCATATTTCGCCATACTAACTCCGAAAAAATCTCGTTCTCCACTAAACTCAAGCTGTTATTCCATTACATTCACTCTCATAGCCCCCTACACCCATTTACGCACCACTAAACTCATTCTGCTTCTTAACCGCACTCTATTTCCCACTCCATTTTCACGTTAAACATATTACTCTCATAAGTGCAGTAACCAAGAATGTTACATTCCTACCAACGTATTCGCCCTTAAATATCACTTAATAACTGATTTTTAGGAAATGTGTAACATTGAACTGTTAAAACAGACATTTATGTTTGGATAACTAATAAAAGACGTTTATTTAATGTTTGTAGATCTGCAAGCGCTGGCTGCGTCAGATGGCGCAGCCCTTCACCCGCGAGGACCAGCTCGGCGTCTCCCTGCTGACGCTGCAGCAGCTCCAATCACAGGAACAACAGGAGAAGATAGAGAAGCAAGTTATACAGAAGTAGACTAGATGAAGTACAAGAATTGTGGAAATGTTAACATTATTTTTTGCATTAAAGTAAGACATATTTTTAAAATCAATCAATGTTTCTTATTTAACCCACTACAAGTCCCAACTATAGTTTGTCTAAATAAGATAGATTAGTTTGACAATTCATGTGACAATTTAAAAAAATAAAAATAAGTAAATAAAACACTATTTATTGACCAAAAGAAAATTAAGAGAACACAACTTACAATTATTAATGAAATAAAAATAAAGATACAAACAAATAAATTTATTGGAGATGGGTTGTGTAAAGTTAGGCAAGAATCTTTTCGATTTTCTATTTTTATTATAGAAGTTGGAATCTTCAGATTTATAGTTAAAACTTAAAAAAACACTGCTTTCTCAAATTAATAATGACCTGCAGACCCATCTTATAGTATTATAAATGTGAAAGTTTGGATGGATGTTTGTTAGAGTTTGTAGCCTAAAAGGTAGAACGGATCTCGATGAAATTAGGCATAGGTGTAGAGGATAGTCTGGAAGAGCGCATAGGCTACTTACTTTTGTTTTTATTGATACCATGCGGACGGTGTCGCGGGCGGAAGCTAGTTACAAATAATAAGAGTAAATAAATAATGTTACGAGTGAGAGGGACAGTTAAAACACTTTGATAATTCTTCCATAATTTTATTCGCGACTTACAATAAGTGGTATTCGCTTATTACAATTGTTTTTTAACACTTTACTTCGCACAAAATACAGAATCACTAAATTTGTTAGTTTGTAGTTGTTACTGTTGAACAGATTAAAGGATCCGTAGTTGACATTTTTTTCTTTTATGTTTATGTTTTTTCATTCCAACGCAGACAATCGCGGGCAAAAGCTAGTTTATAAATAAAACAACATAAAACTTCAATATTTTATTAAATACACTTTCCTTAGTACATTTTTAAGTAACAATGTTAATGAAAAATATAAAACAACTTGGGCACAATGTGCGTAACAACCGAAGAAATGCTGCAATAGAAAACTAAACATTCTCTTAAGTCTATGTAAATTTTACTAACAGCAAATAAATGGTAAAGTTAGGTAACCCACTTAGGGTTAACTTGGAATTAAATATGGCGTAATATCTATTTTTATCACTGCAACTAGTAATGGTTTAAAAAATTTTACGTATTAAATATGTTGTATATGAAATTCTACAATTTTAACTCAAATTCAAATCTTTACAAATAGTTCATTTCAAAATAATTCAACCGAAACGTTATATAAATGTACATAAAAGTTTATAATAGATATGACTTTTAAAAAGTATATTTGTAATACAAACAATTATGTAAATTGTCTTAATATTTAAAACTTGAATAATTAAATATTCGGCCGTAACACATTGGTAGACAATTTGGTCATGTCAAACCTTTGTTCATGGAACCAAACATTTCTCTTATGAAGTGGTTTAGTTATTTATATGACATTTTTATTTACTCGTATATCTATGCTAGATTTTGAGGTTATTTTATACAGTTCTCATCTCCCCTACCTTATCCTACACCTGTAGGGTTATTTTATAATTCTGCATTATTTACAGACAAATATGTATCAGTTTTACTAACATTTGTTTAAAATATTATAATTTAGAAATTTATAAATATTGGTTATTTATCACATATCTCACAGTCAACCAACTTATATTTAGGTTATATTTTTTTACAATATATCTTCACTTTCACCCCCAAAAAAAAAGAAAATTGCACACGGAATCCTATAAAGATTCTTGGAGAGTTAAAATAATTCCCTCTAATTTCCATTAAGCATTAAAAAATGGGAATATTAAATCAATAAAGAAAAGGCAGTTCGAGATTTTGCTAAACAAACACGAACTAAAATTTAAAAAGGAAAATAAAAACTCAAATAAAATAATAAATACTATTTTTGTATTTTATTATATCAGTGACAATTAAATACTAAGTAAGTACTTAAAATATTATTAATGTAGAAAAAAAACTATTTAACTAACAACAAACAATATCAGCCAAATATTGCATAAAAAAGATTATCTAAATAATAATCTATGTGTAAAAGAAATAACAATGTGTTATTGTTTTCCACCACTAAAACATGTACATAAATGCTAATTACGGGGGCATTTCAAAAGTCAATTACTCTGTCTATAGAACATGTGAAAACAATTGGTTCATCTAAAGACAGTGTCACAAACTCAGAAAAAACTGTACTAATATTATAAAGAATAACTATTGAAATAACTCAAAAACTACTGGGCCTATTTTAAAAATTCTTTCACCGTTAGAAAGTTTATCTGTGAGTAACTTAGGGTATATTTTTTTAATTTCACGCGGACGTCGCGAGCAACAGCTATTATATTTATAGCTTAATTAAGTTATGATAGATGGGTGTATGTTTGTTAGCATTTGTAGCGTAATCAGCTGAACAGATCTCCATGAAATTTGGCACAGGTTTAGAGCATAGCCTGTAAGAACACATAGGCTACTTGCATTTGTTTTTTTAAATTTCGCGGGGACGGCGTCATGGGCGTAAGCTAGTAAGGAATATTGGTTAATGTAAGTAAGCTTTAACAACTAATAATGACCAAGCAATTGACTAATGAAATTGCACCTTTAGTTCTGTAATTTTATCTTCAAATTGTTAAGTTTTTTGTTGATATTGGACTGCGGTTATCACATAAAATGTTAACTTCTTAGAACACACTTCTGCAAATATTCCAACAGTCTCATAAACTTGCTAAAAGTCTTCATCTTCTGTGATATTGAGGGAATTTCACTACCAATACAACACTAGTTAGAAACATTTTTTATTTTACACTATTTAAATAGAAGACACTTATGTAAATGTTCCGGAGTAGAAAGTCTTCATCTATCATATTGAGGAAAATTCACTAT